GCCTGCAAGGGAGGCGGGAACGTTGGAGTCCTCCATCACTGAAGCAAGCAAGCTTCATGTTAGTTTCAAGCTGCCTGGCTGCCGGCGGCTATCTTGGCTGGCAGTTAATTTGCATATCTTGCTGATTAGCCAATGGGAAGGGTAGCGGTTGTACGCCAATTACCATGTTTCTCTTTTATTAGATAAGGAGGATGTTTCCTTTGGCCCCTTTGCTTTTATTTGTAAGAGACTGAGCTGGTGTCCACTCCCACTGCTGTAACAGATGGAAAAGGTGCATCTGATAATAACCAGTGGCCGGCCATGAGTCTATGGCTTCTTTCTGTGGCAAGTGCCAGAGAATGTTAATAATTCTGCTTACCATAAACAGTCCTCAGATTCATTATTATTCTTGAAAACATATGCAGTGGTCCAGGAAGAGGTTTTGAATGACAAATTATTAATCTTCCAAAAGTCAACCAAGAAGTGCGTCAACTTCCTAGCCGGAGACATTAACCTGGTTAAATTTTCTTTGAAGTCACATGACAATCCAAAACTTCCAGCTGAAATCATGGGATATGTAAAACTTGCATCAAGGCTATGCCAAGAGGTAAAAAAGGAGAAATAAATATCAGGGTTAACTTAAGTAGCACAAATAAGATCGCCCTTTAACCTGTTTCAGCATGTAAAGAAATACAGGTGACCCTCCCACACAGGTGAATTTTAAAACAACATTTATTAAGCAAATGCTAGGCTTTAAGAACACTTGAGGTGTCTTCATGTATCTGTGACTTAGTTAATTAGATTTATTCTAAAATAAGTTGTCATTTGGGCTGTCATAACATGCAGGCTGGGACATATAAAATTTGGGGAGTAGGGCTAAGAAAATAGAGGATGGGCCTCTATAGCTACCACAATTGTAAAGTCCAAAGGATGCCCTCTACACTGTTTTCTCTATTCATTGCCTTGCTTCCGGCTCTTCTGTGGATTACATTTGAGATAGACGTCGCTGAGGATTTTAGAGTTTTCCTTCCTCTGCTCAGCACATAATAGACCTTCTTGTAGTTCCTTAAACATAACAAGCTTTATTCTCCAACAGGGCCTCACAAATACCAAGAATGCTGTTGCCCTGTCCCTTTGGCTGACTCTTACTAATCCATCAAGCCCTAGATTAAATGTCTCTTTAGTCATCAGGAAAATTTCCTTGATACCTAAGACCAGGTAATTATTTGGGTGAGTATCTGTCTCCTCCACTAGATTGCAAGCTCCATTAAAGCCAGGGATCATGTCTTGCTTGTTCACCTCAGCATCCCCAGTCAGCCTGGTCCAGATGTAGGTGCTCAATATGTATTTGATAAAGGAAGGACAAAAATACCCCCTTCCATCTTCAGTGTTCCACTGAAAGGTGTCACTGAGTATTCTGCTCACATCTCAAACTCCCCACGTTCACAGCCAAATTTATTTTTATTTCTCAAAATGGTTCCTTATCCTGAATCTCCATTTCTTTTAGTGTTTTGAGATCTCAAAGTCTTTTTGACTACTTTCCAGCCCTCACCCCAACATCCAATCAGTTATTAAATACTATTGATTCCACCTTTAAATACCTTTAAAAGTTACCCTCCCTGTGCATGTCAGCTGCTTTCATGCTGAACAGATCCCCTCTTCTCCCCTGCTGACTTCTCTGCCAACACTCTCTCCTTGTCTGCCCCAGTCTTTCCTGTACACTGTTGTCAATTATTCTTCCCCAAATTAAACTGCTTCCTATGGTATTTCCCTGCTCAACCTTAGTGGTTAATGAAATAGAACAAAATCCAATTAAATATAACAAAGCATATGCAACTAATAATCTAATTAAATATAACTCTGTCCCCCAGAACTCAAGGAATGAGTTCACCTCAATTGTTAATGAGCACTCAGTTAACACTTGCTGAGTGAATTGAAATGAGTAAAAAAATAATGCTCATCTTAGAATTTGAGTCCCAAAAAGTAGAATAATATCTTAACCTTGAAGAATATGGCCCCCCTTCATTTTTTCTAGTTTTATCTCTATTATTCTCCTCTATATCTCTTGCATGTCCATTAGTACAGAGTTTCACAAGTTTTCTACACTTCACTGCTTCTTTGCTTTTACACTTACTTCTTTCTCTGCCTGGCTGGGGATACTTAACCCCTTAAATACTTTACCCATTAAAATATACCCATTTTTCAACATACAACTTCTACTATATCACTGCCTTCATGAAGTCTTTCCCTTCTCGAAGCGTAACTCTCCTAACCAGAGTTGACCATTTCCTTCTGTGCACCCAGAGCGTCTTGTTTGTTTCCTTCTCTGATGGAACCTACCTGACTCTGACTTGTACTGGTCACCAGCATCCTCATCACCTTCTCATGTCACCAGGCAGGGGCTAGGTTTTACTTAATTCTCTCTATTCCAATAAAATAAAATGCTTCTTGCCTGTATGGTGTGGCTGAGTGGTTGATCCATGAACCAGGAGGTGAGCCATGAACCAGGAGGTGATGGTTCAATCCCCGGTCAGGGCACATGTCCTGATTGTGGGCTCAATCCCAGTAGGGGAAGTGCAGGAGGCAGCTAGTCGATCATTCTGTCTCATCATTGATTTTTCTATCTTTCTCTCCCTTTCCCTTCCTCTCTCTCTAAACTCAATAAAAAACATATTTAAAATGAAAATGCTTCTTTGCACATGGCAAGTCCTCCTAATTGGTGAGTTCATTTTCTTAACCCCCCTTTTCTTTTGAGCATACTCTATAGCATTGTCAATAAGTAGTCAGACAAGATGACAAGCAGGAACGAGTGCAAGGAAGAGTGAGATTCTGTATTTGTCTGCATTTTGGTATGGAAGATGAGCTAAAAAAAATGCTTCTATGGTATGTCTATGGAGTGCAGTGGCCCTGAGCCCCTGATCTGCCTGTGGAGCTCGTGTGAGGTGTGAGAAGAACAGTTTGCAACAGACATTTCAGAGGCCTAATGTTTACCCCCCAGAGTCTCTTGCAGAGGGTTTTTCAGCACAGTTCTCTCTGCGTAGGCGAGGGCTGATCCTTGATTCAGGGTAAGATTGTAACAGGTGAGAGAAAGGCATGTGGGAGGGATTTTGACTGGGGTCGGTGTAATCTGGAAGACCAAAGTGTTCGTGGTGATGAAATTTAATGACTGGAAGGGATCAGGGCGACTGTCCCAAAGAGAGGTATTTGCATTCAGGAATATATTGAAAGCTTCTTTCTAAGGTGATCAGGGCATTGTGCAAAGTACTGTAATGTGTTATTTAAAACCTTCAAATAATGCTATGAAATAAGTACCTTGCTCCCTTCCTTACTCTTGTAAACCCAGAGCTAAAACAGAGCCCTGCTCATGCCCTTCAGTGCTTCCCTTTACTTTATGTTTCCATACACTCTGCTTATACTTTTGTGAGTATTTCTTTGATTAAGCCCCTTCAAATTATCCAAGTGCATGTCTTCCCTGTTTCCTACCAGAACTCTGACTTTATACCATGTTGCTTCTCCAGCTTAGATGTTGGTAACTGCACCTGAACAGCTACTGTGACTCACCCCACTCTGAGCAAAGGCAGAGTTAACTTGATAAGGGAATTACGGTTGTAAGACCGGTGGCAATATAGGAGGGCCCCAACACCCCCCATTGTGTCGCCTTGACTAGATTGCTGTTTGATAAACTCTTTTTAACACGGATGTCATGTCTTGATTTCAATTCATAGTGGCATCAAAACAACAACAAAACAAAATACTTACTACATCTGGAAGGTGGAATATGTACACGAGGGTCCCATGAGGACACAACCCACCTCTTTTTTATTCTGTAGGAGAAAAAAAGAAAGAAAAAAACTAATGCCTAAAATGGAAACCACACACACACACACACACACACACACACACACACACACCAAAAAAAGAAAACAAAACAAAGGAAAGAATCAAAAGACAGAAAAGAAGTGGTAAGGGAAGGCGGGAAGGCTCCCAGAAGGTTAGAAAGTGGACCACTTAAGATGTTAGAATGCAGAGCAGAAGGGGGCAACATGGGGTGCCTCTTGCTGAGCAAGGGGCAGCTAAGGGATGAAGTAGTCTGAGAGAGGCGGTGCTATGGGTAGAGGGAAAGGTATTCCACTGAAAGGGAGCTGACTGCAGGGAACCTGCATTCTTTATCAAGAGGGAGATGCAGAGTGGAGGAAGGACTGGCAGACGGGCACGTACATAGTAGTGTCTGTCGGCCACATTAGAGAAAAACTAGATTTGGAGGTGCTCTGGAGGGAGTGGGCAAGTTTTAGGAAGAGCTACAAAGTAGGGCTAAAGAGAACAAATGTAATGTGACCAGCTGGGCAATGATAGATCTTATTTTCAACTATATCTCAAGGGGAATGTGATTAGGAACATCCCGTCTTTGGTTTTAGAGAACCAGGTCATACCTTCCTCTGTAGAGATCCAGCCAGGGAGGAAGCACCTAATCTTTTCTTCCTCCCCTGCTATCCCTCCCCAACCTCCCAGGACTGAGGGTGACTGCTGTAATCAGCCACTCCTCCTGGCCCAGGTGGAGCCTACCTCAGCATAATAACATATACTGTTATTGATTGAAGGTTTGGAACCATGCACAGCTCTGTGCCTGGCGCCCTGTTTCACGAGGGCCTTTTCAAAGATTTCTGTAGTAAAGGGGGCATCTCACACACATACTTGCTTCTAGAGAGCTGGAACACTCTTTAGTGTTCCAAGATCTGCATGGGGGGGTGGGGGGGAGGGCACAGTTGGGAGTAGGGATTAGGCAAGAATCTCTCTCGCCCAATTATCTTCCCTTTGACATGACAGTTATTACGTTAAAGTTAGGTTTCAGATTCAGATCTCATGTAGTCACATATATGATGATGACTTGACACAAAGATCTCTGCTGAAGAGCTTTAGAATATATTTTTAACAGGGCACCTCAGGTATTTCTTGAGCGATACAAAGGCAAACAAGTTAGGACCAACATTAAAATTTTTAAAACGTGTTTAAAATAAAATAATTCCACTCCCTAACATGGAAAGTGCACAGATAGCTAAGGTTCTTTCCATTTCCTGGATTCCTGGCGGGCCCTCATCACACGGGAAATCTATAGGGATAAAGTTAGAGAATCTTGCGTTGACGTCGCTCAGCATGGCTAGAGCTGACATGACAGATGCTCATGGACAGCTGCCCAAGGTTCACACTATGATTGTCCAGTGACAAGAGGGTGTGAGCTGTATCTACCAAGGCAGATACTTACAAAAATTCTCCTGAGTAGGTCAAGGCCTTCACAGGTGCTACTCCGACAGTCATTTGACTTATAAAACGCATCCTCTGTACGGATAAAGCTAGCACTCACAGTTGCATTTATTCCTATTATTCGGAAAGGAGCAAACAGAGAGAACTAGTGTTATATTTTAGTAGTTCATACCAGACATAAAATTTACCTTTTGACAATTGATCCTAAGGAAAAAAACGGAGATCCATTTTCAGACCTAGGGATATTTGAGTTTGGAGTTCTTATATTACTCTCTGTCACGTCTTTTCTCTATCTCTTCCCCTCTGCTCCTATCTCTCTCTCATCAGCTTTTTTGAGGCATAATTTACCACCAGAAAAAATCAGTCATTTTAAGTGTACAATTCAATGATTTTTAGTAAACATATATTTATATGTATATATATTGTATTTAGCACATATATATATACTATATAGGGGGGGCAAAAGTAGGTTTACAGTTGTTCATATGGAAAATAATACAATAATCAATAAATAATAATACGAGAATAAACTCCATGTTTTGTGTACCTACAATTGTAAACCTACTTTTGGCCCACCTTGTGTGTGTGTGTGTGTGTGTGTGTGTGCGTGTGTGTGTGTGTGTGTGTGTTATGTATGTATAACATCTCTATTTTCTCATTTCCTATTCATTCATGAACATATATTTTATATATCATATATCTGCGTGCGTGCGTGTGTGTGTGTGTGTTATGTATGTATATATATTTGCACAACCATCCCACAATCCAGTTGAGAACATTTTCTTCATCCTGTTTTTTATTACTATAGACTCAGCAAGTTTCCTATATGGGTCTGGTAAGTGCTAGGGAAGCAATGACAGCCGAAGTGACTTGTGCCCACCTATTCTGGCCCAGAATCTTTGGACAATGGGTCATCTTCAGATGAAGGCAAGAGTATCGATGCCAATATATCTGGGTATTGTTAGGCATCACATTTTGGAAGACAATAAAGAGAGAGCAGAACCATTTGACCAAAGTCTTTCTCTTGCATTTTGTTTTCCTTCCAATAAAAAAAAATAAAAATATTCAGGCCCTAACCGGTTTGGCTCAGTGGATAGAGTGTCAGCTTGCAGATTCAAGCGTCCCAGGTTTGATTCCGGTCAAGGGCATGTACCTTGGTTGCGGGCACATCCCCAGTAGGGAGTGTGCAGGAGGCAGGTGATCGATGTTTTTCTCTCATCAGTGTTTCTAACTCTCTATCCCTCTTCCTTCCTCTCTTTAAAAAATCAATAAAATGTATTTTTTAAAATATTCAGGACAAATCCCTGATACCTAAGCAGAGATATCTGTCATTTTGTGAAGCTCTTACTTAGGAACCCTGGAAACCTCAGTTGCTAGTCTGGCAGTATGAGTGACTTTCTATGTGTTCTTGCACAAGCCATTTTAATTTCTCTACTTGATTCATTCACATGTAAAATGATATTAAAACCAGGTTTGTCAAATGTAATAATTTTTAATTCCTTTAAAAGAGAATACCAGCAATAGAAGTTATTGTTCTTCTGAACATCGAAATTAGAATATTTTAAGAGATATAGATTTGTTCTTTTAGAAAATGGAAACGTCTTTGCTCTTCTACAGACACCTCAGAAATATTTCTACAACTAGGAAGCATTTTATCTCTTGCCTTTTTAGTTGTTGTTGTTAATGCAAGGATATTTATTTATTTATTTATTTATTTATTTATTTATTTAGAGAGGAAGGGAGAGGGGCAGAGAAAGAGAGACACCACTGTGGGAGAGAAGCAGCCATTGGTTGCCTCCTGCATGAACCCTGACTGGGGATGGAATTCACAACCTGGGCATGTGCATTGAGGGGGAAAGGGATGGTAGAACTTTGGGTGCATGGGATGCCACTCAACCGACTGAGCCACACTGGCCAGGACAAGGATACTTATTCTGCTACTATTCTTTATTTAGTAAGATATCTAAATAAGAGATGACAGCATTTTGTTCATACCAAATAGGAGAGGTCGGTGTAATAAGACCAGTCAGAGAAAGTTAATGGAAGATGCAGGGTCAGTGACCCATGTGCCAGCCCTTTATACCTTTTATCTTATTGATTCTCATAAAAATAGGGAGAATACAAGGCAGATGAAGCCAGGAGAACAGTCTGAGTGAGGCTGTGGTGGACCTAGTGGAATGGGAGAATGCATGTGGGGAGGAGTAGAAATTTGGGGTGGAGAAAGTCTAGAAAAGTAGAAAGAGGAGTCAGGAAATGGAGGCCAGTGCACAGTCACATGATGAAAACGGGGCATTGGGAAGATAGCCACACTTTCCCTGTTAATGTATAAGACAGCTCTTACACCTCAACTACCTGTTGCTGTGAGGGACACTAAAGATGATCCACTCAAAAATCCTAGGTTCAAGGCAGCCCATGATGGGCATGGCAAAATCCAGGCTTTTACTGTACAGGGTCTGGGAGAAGGGGAACCGATGTCTATTGAGTGTGATCTTGTACAAGTGATTTCACCTCTGGGGCCCCAGTTCCTCACCCATTTATTCATAGATTAGAACTGGTTGATCTCTGTTAGTATATGCCTAGTGTTGGGCTATGGACTTTTGCATGCATTCTTTCACTAAATTCTCTCCTGAATCCTATGAGGTTAATTAATAATTTACCTTCCTAATTTAAAAATGAAAAGACAGAGGTCCATAGAAGTTAATTAATTTGCATAAGAAGTGAAGCTGGGTTTTGAACCAAGGACACTCTGATTCCAGATTCTGCTGTAGAAAAGTAGTTCTCAAAGTGTGGGGCCACTGACTCCTGAGATACCTGGAGACTCTTTCAGGAGGTTCAGGGGGTCAAAACTATTTGCATAATTATATTAAGACATTTTTGCTTTTTCCCCCCACTCCCCTTCATTCTTGATTATATAGTGAGAGGTTTCCAGAGACTACATAATATGTATTATTATAAGACACTAGTGCCCTGGTGCATGGGTTCATGCACATGGAAAGGAAATTAATTAGAAGGTGGCTGGTGGGGCAGGACTGGGCAAGATGGGCTGGGCATGCCCTGAAGCCAATCTCCCGTGGTCCTTCCCTGGAAGGCTGCACCTGGGGTGGCACAACGGCTCAAAGGGCGTCTATGGAGTGAGCAGGGTCCTTCCGGAAGGTGGGGGCCCTCGGCCTGGCCTGCAGTGATCGGGCCGAAACCAGCTCTCCGACATTTCCCAAGGGGTCTCGGATTGCGAGAAAGTGGTTCTCGGTAACACATCCTGGAATTGGGTTCCCTCCTCTCTGGTTCCATGGTGCGTCACCCAAGAACTGCCTCTGCCAAGTCACCGCAGCTTGGCAGCTCCTGCACTGAGCATCTGCCCCCTGGTGGTCAGTGTGTGTCATAGCTACAGGTCGGAGCATCTACCCCCTGGTAGTCATTGCGCATCATAGCTACCAGTTGGATGGTTGGATGGTTGCTTAGCCTTTTATATATATAGATTAAGTGCAGAAGCAGATATGAAAATCCAGCCATTTTCTATGAAGCCTGACATTAAAGATTTACAAAAATGTAAATCAAAACCACTTTCCCACCTACTTTTATTTTTTGTTTTGATAAATATAGGTTTTCCTTACTAAGAAATATTATCTATGTTAACTGATAAAGTGTCTATAGTTGTTATTTAAGTGAATTGATAAGCAAATATTTAAAACATTTCTGTTTTGAGGTACGATAATTAAAACAGCATCGTATTGGTAGAGAAACAGATATGCAGATCAATGGAACAAAATAGAGAGCCCAGCTATAAAAACACATGCATATGGACAGATAATTTTTGACAAAGGAGCCATCAACACACAATAGAGTAAAGATAGTCTTTTCAATAAATGGTGCTGGGAAAACTGGAAAGCCACATGCAAACAAATGAAACTGGATTACAGTTTGTCCCCATGCATAAAAATTAATTCAAAATGGATCAAAGACCTAGTATAAGACCTGAAACAATAGGTTACATAGAAGAAAATATAGGGACCACACTTATGGACCTTGGTCATGGAGAACATTTTATGAACTTGACCCCAAAAGCAAGGGAAGTAAAGGCAAAAAATAAATGAATGGAACTATATCAAACTAAAAAGCTCCTACACAGCAAAAGAAACTGACAACAAAGCTAGGAGGTAGCCAACCAGATGGAAGATGATATTTGCAAACAGTAGCTCTGACAAAGGTTTAATTTCCAAAATATATAAAGAACTTGTAAAACTCAACACCAAACAAACAAACAACCCAATCAAAAAGTGGGCAGAGAACCTGAAAATACACTTCTCTCAAGAAGACATATAAATAGCCAATAGATATGTGAAAAACTGTTCAACCTCCCTGGAAACTAGGGAAATGCAAATAAAAACTATAATGAGATACCATCTCAGACCTGTTAGAGTGGCCATTATCAATAAGACAAGCAATAACAAGTGTTGGAGAGGTTGTGGAAACAAGGAAACCTCATCCACTGCTGGTGGGAATGTAGACTGGTACAACCACTATGGAAAGCAGTCTGGCTATTCCTAAAAAAATTAAGAATAGAGCTATCATATAACCCAGCAATTCTTCTCCTGGGTATATACCCGAAAAACTCGAAATCATGTATTCCCAAAGATATATGTGCCCCTATGTTCATTGCAGCATTATTCACAGTGGCCTAGACATGAAAACAACCAAAGTGTCCAAATATAGCAGATTAGATAAAGAGGATGTGGTGCATGTACACAATGGAATACTAGCCCTCCATAAGAAAGAATGAATTACTACCATTTACAACAACATGGATGGACCTTGAGAGCATCATGCTAAGTGAAATAAGTCAGCCAGAAAAGAACTATATGATTTCACTCATATGTGGAATGTAAAACTGAAACTCATGAGCACAAACAGCAGTGTGGTGATTGCCAGAGGGAATGGGGTGGGAGGAGATGGGAGTCCTAATATAAGGTGACAGGAGAAGATTTGACTGTGGGTGGTGGGCACAGGGTGCAATACACAGATCTTACAACCTAGCAACTCATACCTGAAACCTATATGTTCATGTTGACCAATGTCATCCCAATAAATTTAATAAATAAAAATAAAATAAAATAAAT